TCGGTACTTTGATACCTGCCCCAAAAAACAAAAAAAAAAAACTGACGGAGAAGAGAAAAAGATAACAACAACAGTGGCTCCCCTTTTAATGATAAAAAATTGGATAAGGCCAAGCCAAGAGCGCAGAGTCGCCTTTCCCACTTGCAAGCATAAATTTTATGTGTGCGTGTTGCGTTTAATTGGAACGCTGTTAAGCATGCCTTCGCTTGTGTGTGTGCGTCTGTGTGTGTGTGTACATTTAGTCGATAAACAATTTACGCAATGCACTGTTTGGTTTAGCTGATTTTTGTTTATGTACGCATTATCTAAACAAATACGAAAATAAACAATTTGAATGCAACGCATAAAACATGCATTTTCAAGTTAATGCACCTTTAGCAGGCACTGTGAATGTACGCGCTTTAATTTGACAGCCAAGTTGAAGCGCAGAGCTAAGCGCAAAGAGCTCGCAAAAAAAAAGCCCAAAGAAAAGGGCAACAAGTGTAAAGTAGGCGCGCACTCTCAACTAGGCAGAGAGAGAGAGAGAGAGAGTGGAGTGTGCGAGAGCGTGAATGTGTTCCCAGTATTTTTCAACGTCCAGAACTCACCAGAAGCAGTTATTCCTGAGCCACCTACCTTTCTTTTTGTGCTTGTTCCTTCATGCTTTATCTTTTGTTTGCTTTGGCTGCTTGGCATGCGCAGCACATACGGCGCTGTCGCTGCCAGCGTCGCGGCTGTCGTCGCTGCTTTGGTTATTCTTGGTTATTCTGATTCCTGGCGTAGGTATAAATGACAGCTTCTATGGCCATTTCACTTTTAGTCTTGAGTTGTCAACGCAAGCGCAATGAACCACTGTAAGTTGCTCTCCTAAAATTTCGCCAGTGTTGATTGAAGTTGTTGTTTGTTTTGCAGTAGTGCTGCTGCTGCTGCCGCTGTTGGCTGCAGCGAACACCATCAAAGAACGCAACTTGTTTGCCACCGAACTCTTTCAGACCTTGGCCACTGATCGCCAGGAGGAGAATGTCATCATCTCACCCGTATCCGTGCAGCTGGCTCTAGGCTTGGCCTACTATGGTGCCGAAGGCCGTACTGCAACGGAGCTGCAACGCACGCTGCATGTCTCCGCCAAGGAGAGCAAAGATGGCCTCGCCGAAAGCTATCATCGCTTGCTGCACTCGTACATCAAATCCAAGACGGTGCTAGAGATAGCCAACAAAGTTTATACACGCGAGAATCTGAAGGTGACGCCACATTTCCGTGAGATAGCAGAAAATTATTTCGACTCTGGTGTCGAGGGTCTGAGCTTCGATAACGAAACGGAGGCACTGAGGCGCATCAACGATTGGGTCAAGGAGAAGACCCAAGGCAAGATTGAGCATGTGGTGGATGCACTCGAGCCGGACACAAACGTGGCCCTGATCAATGCCATTTACTTCAAGGCACGCTGGGCACGTCCCTTCAATGATGAGGACACCAAGGATCGTGACTTCTGGCTGACCGAAAAGCAGGCTATTCAGGTGCCCACTATGTTTGCTGACAATTGGTATTACTATGCAGACTATCCGGAGCTGGATGCCAAGGCAATCGAATTGTTCTTCGAGAACATCAACATGACCATGTGGTTCATACTGCCCAACATGCGCACAGGCTTGCAGCAGCTGGAGCAACAGCTAAAGGGCGTGGACTTCAAGCTGCTCGAGGATCGCTGGCAATGGCAAAGCGTTTCCGTCTACTTGCCCAAGTTTAAGTTTGAGTTTGACACCGATCTGAAGCCCACTTTGAATAAGGTTTGTTTGCCGATCTCTAAAATGGGCCTCGACGTTTTACATATCTAAATGAAATAATGTTCATAGATGGGCATCAACGCTATGTTCTCGGATGCGGCTGACTTTAGCAATATCTTCGATGAATCGCCCATTGGCACCCGCATCACCCAGGTGCAGCACAAGACCTTCATTGATGTCAACGAGATTGGCTGCGAGGCTGCTGGCATTAGCTGTACGTGTTACCCCCTCAACTGCTTTTGTATCTCTTTAGCTGATCTATGAATCTTTCCACCCATATAGATGCTGCTGGCGTGCCCATGTCCTTGCCCTTGGATCCCAAGACCTTTGTGGCCGACCATCCATTCGTGTTTATCATACGCGATCAGCATGCGGTTTACTTCACCGGACACATTGTCAAGTTCTAAAGTAGTTTCTAAGAAAATTTCAAGCAATATTATTTTATATCATTTCGTTATTTAAGCAAACATCAACTTGAATAAATTTCAGAGTTTAGTTCTCAACTGCTCCACATTTCGTTTAGAAATCAAAAGTTTTACACTTGGGTACCAACAAATTGCTGCATTTACCCTCCGAGTAGAACTGCAATACTAAAAGGAGTCATGAAGGTGGGCCTAAATGATAGTCTCTTATCAATTTGATTCATAACCTACGTGGCATTCCTTTGAGCTCGCGTTCACAGTTAATGAACTCGATGTCCCTTTGATCAATGTTCAAAAAACAGCCTCCATAGGCGCAAACCTCTTGGAAAGGCAGGGTGTAGGAGCATTTGCTGGGGATTCGCGCTATGAAAAGAAGAAGAAACTTTACGTTAATATGTATAAATGTATCCGATCAGTGTAAGCCATACCCAGCGTGAACGGAGCTAGTGTCGAGAGTAGCAATAAAATGATCTTCATCTTTGAAATGTTCTTGATCTACGGAAACTTCTATTAGAAAGCCATTCCACTTAGCTGAACCATGCTTAATTACTTAATGCAATTGATTAGCCACGCTTGGTTTGGGCCACTTTAAAAGACCTCGAATAGTTATTGGGCGTTTTACACACGTTTCGACATGCTAAAAATAAATATAAACAGCCATAATTTTGGGCTTTTAAATATGCCTCGTCCATGTTACGTGTGACCCAAAAACCAGAAAACAAGGCACAACAAAAAGGTAAAATGGAAGAAATAAATAAATGTAAAGATACGAGAAAATTAAGGTAAGCAATAAGAAATGTGTGCTCTCTTTCGGATTATGCATACAACATATTCAAAACATTCAATTTATTCCAAAATTCTGACACTCAGAAAAAAAACGAGCTGAGCTTTCATATGCTGGCAATGAAATTCTTATTTCTAGAAATTTTCATCTAGACATAATAATATATCTTAAGAAGAAACAAAATATAAAGACTTTTCGATAATAGTAAAAGTATGGAAATACTTTTATTTATTTTTTTAATATTTATTATTTATTTTTTTAATAGTTTTTTTACCAGCACTAACACTAAAAAAGCCTCATTATTTTTTTTAAAGCAGTGACCAGGTCCACAAGTATTATTACTATTAAATTTAAGTTAGTTCAAATATCACATAAATTTTCTTTTCATCTGCAGGCTAAAGGGTATTGAAGTGAGCTAAGCTAAACAGTCAGTTAGCATAGCCCGAGTTGCCCCTGCAAGATCAGATCGATCAGATAATTGGGGGATGGGGCTCTTAAGACATTTGTGGCATTTGTTTTAAAAGCGCCTGAACCTGCGCCTGCATCTGCACCTGCACCTGCTGTGCTGCTTGGTGAGGCAAGAGGGCAGCTTGCAGGGGGAAAGGGATAGGCATAGATATAGGAATAGGGTGCTGGACTGTGGCCACTTGAAATTCCAGTCGCAAAGCCAACATGAAACAAAGAAAAACTTGCCAGGCAGTGCAAACAAATCTAACAAAGGGACAGTAGAAAGAGAGTCGAGGGAAAAGGAAGAAGGTAGGGAAGACAGACGCCGCTGCTCGCGTTGCTGCTGCTGCTGACGCTGCTGCTGCTGCTGCTGACCACAAGCGACGAAGCGAGGGCGCGCTACAAGAATTACAATTACAACGACAATTACATGGAGCAGAGGCAGCGCCAACAATAGCGTCAGCGCAAGCGTGCCCAGTATTTTGTTAACCAGTATTCTTGCTCAAGCAAGCGATCGTGAGTGAGAGAGAGAGAGAGAGAGAGCGCTCGCGCACGCTATCCAACGCAACAGTTGAAGTTGCATTTGAAGTTGGAGCCAGCAGAACAGCAGAGAGCGTGAACGTATGAGAAAGAAAGAGAGAGAGAGATTGAGCGAGCGAGCGTGCGCTTTGGCTTTGTGAACGGGTAAGGTGCACAATTGTGCGCAGCCGAGGATCGCGCAGTCTGTGTATTGGTGTCAAGCGAGACAGACGTACTTCGGCATGCGCTGCTTAATCGCGTCTTTTTCACGTATTTCACGTAGCTTGTTGTTGTGCGTGTTCAGTTTGCGGGATTAAAAAACTGCAGCGTGCAGCTGCCCGCGCCGCGGTACCCACCCTCCACCTACCCACCGCCCACCTTCGCCCACGCGTATACGCTGGGCTTATCTGGCCGTCAGAATCGGTAGCTTGTTTGTTTTTTTTAGCGCAGGCTAGTTTACGAAAGAAAGAAAGAAGGAAAAACGGCAGCCTGACAGTCTGGACGGTCTGGACGGCTGCATGCGCAAATAAATAAGAAGAAATAGTTGACCAGGGCTGTCCCCGCACCTGCGGCCCCCTCTCTCTCGCTGTCTATGGTAGAGTGTGTGTGTGTATGTGCAGCAGAAGTAAAAGTGGAAAAGGCGCATCAATTATTTTAAATGCTCTTAAAATATCTGCACGATTTGCCCCACAGTGCGACAATTTCGCATCCAATGAAGCGCATTGGAAAAAATGCAGCAATTAATGTGACGCGTTAAATTTGCCACTTGGCCAACTCTCATTGAGCTTTTCCAAATACCGAATATCGCGTGCGATTCCAACCAGTTTCCAGTCTCCAGGCAGCCATTGAACCAAATTAACTGCATATAAAGATTTGTATTAGAAGCTGTCACAACAACAGCAACAACAACAACAACAGCGACAAAGAAGTAGCAATAGAAGTAGAAAAGAAAAAATAAATAAACTGGAATTTGCTTGATTTATGTGTGATTAGAAAAACGCGACAGAAAATTCAATAAATTACAGCAAAAACAATAATAATAAAAAATAAAAAAAAAGAGTAAAAATCAAATAAATAAAAGGCTGCGCCTGCGCTTGGCTACACGGCAAATCACCTTCGTCGCCTTTTTTGTTGGCAAATTAATAAGAAATATGTTGAAATCCTAATTTATGTATATGCACCAATACATATACATAAGTGTGTGGGTGTGTGTGTTAAATATATTTGTGAATGCAAATCAAGCGAAAAAACAGCAAATCCGCTAAACGTCGCACAAAGGATTTTATTATGGATACCACAAATCAAATGCATTTGGAGCTCGAAAGGTGAGTCCGGCGAAAAAGATCGCGAATGCTGATAATTAAAACATGATTTTATTTACCTGCATTTTGTATTTTGAATTATTTTGCATAGCTGCTTAGGTTTGTTTTGTTTTTTTAATCGAAATGTTATCTCAACATTTGATCTTTCTCTTCTATTCGATTTTGAGCCTCTTAAAATGGGCTGAATTCCAATTGATTTTTTTATTATATGCAAATGTCAAAGCAGAGCCTAATATTAATCACATTAGTAAGCCCTGCATATCTTCTATGTAGGGTATATTTGTGTGAGCAGCAGTGTCACTTCGTTTAAGCATACCCTGTAAGTCGTAGCTTAGGAAATCCTCTCGAAAGTTAAATGCTTTTGGTATACGAGATTCAAATAAACAGCCAGCTCTCTTCAAATGTGGAACACAGGGTATGTTGAATACAGGGTATCATTGAGTTCAAGTTTTGCTGCTCTGTTTTACTATAGCTCTATAAATAATAAATTTAAGATTCGTTTAAGCTTGCGACATTCAAAGTTTATTCGCTCAAATTTGATTGTTGATCAAATTTGCGTTCATTAACTAAAAACATAAAAAAGAAAACAAATAAATTTGATAATTAATTTGCACCTCAAATTAGCTAGAGGGTAAAATTTGAGTTCACACATAAGCATAATTAGCAATGTGTCCCATAAAGACAATCGAATCTTTGTATTTGATGGCGAAGGCAAATGGATGATCCGCTTCAAATTTCTTAGTGCGCGAGAATAAACCCTTCAAAACTAAGGAGAGATAGAAAAAAGATTGTGTATTAATATTATTCCAAGAGAAATATATATAGAGAGAGAGTGAGAGAGCGATAGCTTACCACCCGACTCCAGCGACGGCTCCACGCCTGCCTCAGACACCTCCACATGCGCCTTGTGCTCGACGCTGTTGATGAAGTGGCTCACGAACATGCGGTACATATTGCCAAAGTCTCCATCACGTGAGAACATGGTCGTAACGCCCAGCTAGAGCAGCAGAGTTAAGCTACAAATTCAGTTTTCTATGTCAATTGCTCTACGCACCTGCTTGAAAGGCTTCTCCAGGCTGAGGCCGAAGGTTACACTAAACTTGGGCAGCTCCACCTCCACTTTGTGCATGCTCATCGGGCCCAGTTCGGTGAGCAGATTCTTGCCGACCAGGCTCTGTTGGAGGGAGCGTAAGCCGTCCTTGCGATTGGGCAGCAGCAGGATCATTGAGTACTCCTGATTTTGGTAGGGCAACTCCAAGGCTTTGGCATCCAGGCTGCTAACGTCGGCATAGTTGAAGTTCTGCAGCGTCCACATGGTCTCCACATTAACGTTTTGGCCATTACCCGTGCGGAAGCTGCGGCTCTTCGTCTTTTCCAGCTTGAAGGCCTTCTGCCAGGGTGCGGCAAATGTGACACCGTTCACAATGACTCCTTCGGTGCGATCGTTGAGCAGCTCCGCCTTGAGTATGTCCCTAATCTGATTATTTGTCTTGGTCGCTACAGCCTGATTGATGCCATCCGCTGTGCGCTTGTTGTACGGCGGATGAAAGTCGAGTTTATCAATGTTCGAGTCGAACTGCCGCTGAGCCACATCACGAAAAGAGCCCTTGTACTCCAGATTCTCGTTGATGTAGATGTTGTTGGCCAGTCGTAGATTGTTGTCACGCGTCAGCGCCTGCTGGAAGCTGCCATGCCGTTGCGACACCTGATCCCCATCGCCAATGCCCAAACGCATGCCCTCCTTCAGCTCAATGGCTGTCTGGCCCTTGGCCCCGAAAAAGGCCAGCGCCATAGAGGTCTGTATGGCTGCGGTGCCAATCACAATGTTCTCATTCAGTCGCTCCGCACCCACCGCATTGTAAAGATCGGCAGCAAGCAGATTGCGATCCCGCGCAGCATCCAAGCCAGTGGAGGTTTTCGCTTGGCAACTGCCCAGAATTGCCAAGGAAACTGCACAAAAGTTTTAGCGAAACACGAAATTCATAAATACCAGCAAAGTACTTAGCTTACATCATTTTCTATAATACATTATGAGCTATATCTGTATTTCATCTACAAATCTGAGACGTGTGAAATTTGAGAGTTGCTACCGAAAAACTATAACAGCAGCAAACTTGTTCACAATTTCCAATTCTTTAAAAGTTCTTGAATATGCCATTTCGAAATTTCAATATCTCATATGTGATCTCAAAGTTCGGTTCTGTTTTACTCAGCTATTGCCAGCATCAACATCAGTTAGACATACATACATATATGTATCTGCATAGGAAACTCATATTTTGGAATAAAATTCCAATTAAATTATGTGTCGCGTTGTCTTGTTCGATTGTCTCTGAAGAACCTTGATTCTGTTATGACAGACGATAAACAACCCATTAATTCTGTTTGCTGTTCGAATTGGCCAGAGCTGGGGTATTCCAACTGTGTAACTCGGCTAGAGAGAAGAGCCCATTCTTAGCTAAACAAACTCTTATCTATCTAACTTGACGTCACCCAAAATTTATTGCCAAAATTTGCGACTGATGCTGCTTTTAACTAGAGGCACTCTACTATATCTTATATATAGCTATAATTAAAATTGAATCAAGTTAATATTGAAACATTTTAATTCGCACTGATAAGCCTGACGTGAACAGCCAAATTCATCCTATTGAAGAAATACATGTATAATATATGCACTCTTATAGGGTATTTAGACTTTGGTCATATTCAGCTAGGTTTTTTCTTTTCTGGTTTATTGTAATTTTTATCAATAAATCGAGCCATAAATATTGTCACTTTGCTTTTTCGTAGACCATTGAGACTGGTTTCTGTTTATACATGCTCGAGTACAAGTTTATAAAGATCTTATAGGCAATAATTGAGGCTTACGTAATAGGCACTGCACTGCGCTGAGCGTCATGATTGTTTCAATTTATATATATACAAAATTTCTGTACATATAAATATGTATGTATATGTATGTTAGTTTAGAGCAACAGTTTTCGCTTGATTGATAATTTGCGTCGTCGAGCGTCGAGCGTCTGAATTCAAACTGAATTTGCGGCTGGCTGCGAGAGTCTGTTGGAGCTGCGATTACGTCTTAGATTCTCGGAAATTAGTCGATCAGCTGGGTGGTATTTTTTCGTAGTCTTGTTTACAGATCGTTTATCACCTTGACGAGTCGCTGATAAGCAGATAACCTTTGCGCTAGAATATGGTCCTCGAGTTTAGATGTCGACTACATGGCCCGCCAGTAGCAGGGTCTTCTCATTGCCGACGGCATAGAAGAACGGATGATTGATCACCAGGGATAATGTGCTGCGAAATAGGTCGGTGAAGGCAGCCACTGAAGATGGGGGAGAACAAGAAATTCGGCTGTTAAAAATGAAATTCCAAAGCCCTAAACTAACTTTGTACTTACCAAACGTTTGCCCCGCCTCACCGCCTGCTTCATCCACTTGGAACAATACGCTGTGCGGCACTGCGGTCAAATGCGGTGCCGAACTGGATATAATTGAGCTGAACACATTGTGTAGCTGAGCCTCGGATGTAAATAGCTTGGACAGACCCAGCTGCAAGCAGAGAGAAACTTCATTTAATAATATTCCATATATATAATTACACTACAAGAATTTTAATTTGAAGTCATGACTGTTAGATCACAATTTCACGGAGTATCGAAAGTTTGTCTGACTTACTTGCTCCAGAACCGCACGCAGTTCGGTGTGGGCCAACAAACTGAATTTGGGCAGGGTTAAAGCCATTTTGCGTTCGCTGAGCATCCGACGTAGCTGATGCAGATCGATGCGTTGCAGCTGGCGTTCCAGCAGGGCCAAGCCTGTCGGCTGATTGGGATAAATTATGAGCAAACTGAGCCCTGCTGTGGCATAGGGCAGCTCAACGGCGCAGGCATCCAACGAGGGCAGCTCCGCATATCGGAAGCGATGCTGCAGGAACATGGCATCCACTAGCTTGGCGTTGTGGCTGCCCTCGGGGAAAAAGTTGATGCATTGCGTCTCCTGCGCATCGAAGGCCTGGGCCCAAGGTGCGCGAAATGTCAGCGCCGAGACATGTAAAAAGGGAGTGTCCGAGGCGCTGCTGGACTCCAGCAAATGGCTGCTAACCAGCTCACCCACGCTGTAGTTGCTGCGCTTCAGGAAATCATAGTTAATCTCCTGCGCTGTACTTGCCCAGTTGTTGAAGTCTAGCCGTTGCACGCCTATGCCCAAAGTTCCGGCACGCGCCTCGAACTCATCTCGAAAGCTGAAGGTGTAGCGCTGCTGCGTGTAGAACTCGCTGAGCAGCCGCAGCTGGCAGCCAATGGCTACCTCCTGCTTCAGATTCCCCAGCAGCTGCTGAAATTGTTGGAGTGCCTGGTCCGGCGTTCCTAAATATTGCAGCTCCAAAGCTACGCGCAGCTGTTGAGCCGTTGGCGCCGAGCTGGGCGTTATGCCAGCAAAGAGCAGAGCAAGAGCCGTTTGCAGGAGTAGCGGAGAGACAGCAACATTGCTGTGAGGCTGTGCCAGACCCAGGTTCGTGGCCAGGCGCAGGCCAAAGCGCTCGCTGGAGCCACTCAAAGCAGCTGTCGGATTGCCATGCGCACAGCTACTGAACAGCAGCAGCAGCTGCAGCACGACGGCTGTTACGACTAGAAGTCGTCTCCAGTTAGCGTAACTCATCGGGGGTATTTCCAAGCTTTAAGTTCTGCTAAGATTTAAGTTTAAGCTGTTGCTGCTATTGCCACCGGAGCTCACACTCAATTAAATAAACACACGAGCCGGAAAATCAAAACAGAATGTGACGGCGACTTAGAGCCGGTTTTAAGATCTACACACAAGAAAACACTCAAAGTTGATTTAATTGAAATTCTGATAAGAGAGTGAGAGAGAGAGCGTGAAGAGCGGAGAGCGCAGAGGGGAGAAACTGACTCCGCATGACAGCTGAATGAAATAGTCTCGCTGATTATCTAGTAAGTGACCTAATTGCCAGACCTGACAAGACTTGAGCAGCTTCCACAGATCCATTAAAGCTATTATAAATGTATTTGTAATCAATTTGTTTGAAGAGAGCACACGAGCAGGAATACCCTAGATCTAAGGTATATTGACTGTGAGATTTATGGGGTTATAAAGATGATATCTTAGAGTCCATGATTTCATATAGTGTTGCTCTAGTGTAGTATATATTTTTAAGCAATTAATGTAAAGAAAAACTGTTAGAGGTAAAACCCTAGAAGTTAAGATAGCCCTAACAGTTCAATCTCTTACACAGCTGAGCAATCACTGTTTCATTTCTGCTCAAGGCAAAGTATTATAACATTCTCGTTTTACAACATTACAGAGTATCTCATCTTCGATTTGGATCCACTTAGATTGTCATTTCTCGTAGCGCTCAATGAGAGAAACCTGTTCTCTTATCAGCAACATTTTTGCGTAAACAAACATCTAGAATTGATGGTTCAAGTCCGAAAACCCCCATTTTTTCCCCATCCAAGAACTTTGCCATTCCACTCATTATTTATTATAATTTAATTACTTTTGTATTGACGAAAATCGTGATGCAACGTCAAAGATAGATGCTTCATTAGTCAAACTCTTAGTATTTTTGTCAACGGGATTTTTCGCCTTAGTCATCGAGAAGCAAACCTGTAGCTGGACTTTCCATAGACACGCTCAATTGAGGAAGTTACGATTGATGAAATTTGCATTTGTTTATATGGCAGCTCTTAGCATTGGCGTACGTTAAACATTGTTATAGCTCCCAGCTACCAGCGACCAGCTGCCAGCTACCATTTACCATAAACAGTCTGCCTGAGGGGTCTCTCTTGTGAGCGAAACGGGTTTGCCAAGCTTTTTGCGGGCAAAAACCAAAGGCTACATATTCAGCTGGAAAAGGCACAAATTCTGAGCAATGGGCGCAGTGCAAAGGTTATCTCCGAGAATATAAACACGAATCATGCGAATTACGTGTGTGTATATGTGTGTGTATTACAATAAAAGTAAAAATTACGAGTATGTATTACAAATAGCAAATGCGTACACTTAACTTAGAAGCTAGGGACGGTTCTACTGTCTCGCGTTCACCTGTGGCGGCTGGACCACATGCCCAATAAAGAGCACCGAGTCAGGTGTGCGTATGGCAAACAGGAACGGATGATCGGCAGTAAATTCGCGTGATTTCATTGGCAGCAGCAAGGGCACAAATTTGGCAACTATAAAGATAGATGGGAATGAATATTTGGCTCGATTTAGATTGAGTTTTGCAGGTGGTTAAACTTACAGGTGGCGGCTGCTGCCTCGGAGCCCGCCTCGTTGACATCAATGAAGGCCTTTTGCAGTATCTTTGACACCTTTACAGGACGCATTAGCATGGCATCTACCTGCGAGTTGGCAGTGAACATGCGACGCACGCCCAACTCCTGCAGCGGACGCGTCATATCCTGTTCGAATTCAATGCGGAATTTCGGTATTCGCACTGCAACCATTTCTCGACGTAGGCGTGCCGCAATCTGATTGAGATCTACACGTTGCAGTTGCCGTTCCAGCTGTGAGAGACCATCCACCTGGTTCGGAAGTATGAATAGCATTGACACCTGAGTGCCGGCATAGGGTAACTCGAGCGCTACGGCATCTAGCTCTGGTAGTTCGGCATAGGCAAACACATCGTCGTTGTACATCATGGGCACTGTGATGGCCTTGTTGCTATTGACACGGAACTTCTCCGGCGTTGTATCCATAGCTGAAAACTCGTTTGCCCAACGTGCTTTGAAGTAAATGGCATTGACCAGCAATGCTTGTGTCTCATCATCAATATCGTTCGGGGTGACCAGCTCGCGTATAATGTTGCGTGTGGCATCTGCTGACCAGGCATTAATTCTGGCAGCGGTATTGCTTGAACGCTTCATGTTGACCGGTTCAATCTCCGAGTTATAGAACTCACGAGCGTAGCGTGCATAATCGGGATTGACCACAGCTAGTTCATGATTGAAGAACAGCTTGTTGGCCACAATTAGTTGAGCATTCTGCAGCTCGCGCTCCAGATTATTTACTCGCTGAAAGTCCTTAGCCACGCTCAGTTGATCTTGTTCAAATTGGCCAGCCAGTCGAAGTTCGGTGGCAGTTTCTCCACTGGAGACGCCGAAGAGCATGCCCAAGATACCGTGCACCGAGGAAGGTGAGTAGACGACATTGCGGTTTATATTGCTACGCGAGATAGGCTGAAAGAGTGTGGAGCTGAAGCGTTCACGGTAATTGAACTGCGCCGGCGGACGTGCTGGACCCGACGAGCCTCTCGATTGACCAGCAGCTGATTTGCCGGTTGAACCATCGATGCCAAGAACTGTTACGCCAGGAGTTACAGATGCAGATGCAGGTGCAGACGGAGCCTGAGCTTGAGCTGGAGCTGGCGATTGGGCGGAAAATTGTTGCTGTGCTGGCTGCCCAGCTGCGACAGCCGTGCGTTGAGCGATTCTATTCTGGACTGCGGGCACCCCTCCAGATCTGCTTTGTATCTGGTTATCAAAGCCAGAACGACTGCCGAAGACCACATGGCCATAGTCTACAATGCGCTGTCCGCTCGAGGCAGCGGGTGTGAAGAACAGACAAAGGCTTAGGCAGCTGCCCAGCAGAAGCAGCATTGCTGATGCTGTAAAAAGATGAGACAAAGAGCACGGGTTAGAGCTCCGCACATGGGATATTGCCACAATTGTTCTTAGCTTACAATATTTGCACGACATGCCGACCAATTACTGCGGAGAGGGAAACTCGTTTAGCTGCTGCTTTATATATATATTGATGTAGATATATATATTTATAAGTATAATTCGTCTCCTTTGTTTTTTTTTTGCGTCTCGACGCTCTGCGATCGTCTGTTGCGCAGCTCAGCTCGACTGCAGCTTTAAAAACAAACTGAGCTTGGCAAAAAGTTTGAGCAGCGAGAATATGCGAGTACCTAGAAGCGGACTGATAACCGGTCCACTACAGTGGGCACTCTCTACCCCGCTCCCTGCAGCACAGTGGGTGCTTCAAGACGAGCACTGAGCAAATATTTTTTTGAAATACAAAAAAAAGAACAGAAACAGAAAAAGTAAGAGAAACGAAACCTGTTGAGCTAAATCTCGCTCTTCGAGCCCACTCTGTCCCGTTCTCTCGCTCTAACTCACTCACTCTCTCTCCTTCTCTCTGTGTGTATTGGAAAAACCCCGCGCACATTTAATTCTAATTACATAAAGGAAAATATGCGCTACTGTGGGTCGATCCAGGTTTTTCAATTGTGAATCGGGGCGTGGCCACTTGAAATGTGAAATGTACTTGCAATCTGTATATGCGATTACCGACAACTAACTGATCGCTGACTCAAGTGGAGAATGTTCAATTTATCGACTCAGACGTGTCGGCTCTTAGAAGCCGACGAATACGAAGAAGCTTGAAGAAAAAACCAACTGAGTCTTGTTTATTTTTAGCAGTTCCATCGGATAACTGAGTGCGACTCATAACTTCTCGTTTTCCTGCTCTTAATGACGTCAAATTCTAATGCCTGCCGACATTTTTATGCGTCCATAATAAAATATTAGTCAAGACATTCCCCCATTTAGCCAGTTAGTAAATGCATTTCCTAACCATTTCGTAAGAGCTACGCATAAATCGTAGCGCGAGAACTAATTAAGTATTCCAAAATCTAAATGCGAGATAAAACTGGGTAGCAGAGACCTCACACGACCCTCCTCTCGACGCAGTGCTTAATTATGTAAAAGCGAGTCTCAGTATGCATTTTATATCATATCAGAAACACACACACACACACACACGGGCACTCAGTGCCTGACCTAATTGCACGACTAAATGTGTAAACATAATTTACTCCAATTAGTGCCGATGACGCTCCGTGCTTCAATATATTCTCTACGTAAGTGAGCAATGCCACGCCCCGCCACGTAACGCCCTCTCAGTGTGGCACATGCCGCCACCGTCATCGGCGTCGTCTGAAATTGGGGCAAGAGGGTACAGAGCAAAGATATGAACTCCATAAAATGCAATCAATAAATTTTTGTAAAATTCTAGAGCTGTAGATAGAGCTCGGCAACAAGTTGTATTAATTACCCAAGCGTCAGGTACAACGGAGCTAAATGAAGAAAATGTAGAAGAAGAAGAAAATTCAAAGTGAAAAATAAAGAAAAAAGAAACAATTTGCTGCCTGCTGGCTAAAGGGTTGCTGCCACAGCGCGAAACAAAAAGTTAAAGTTATGCAGACAATTTTTTTCTTATCTTTTCGCTTGACTTTTTTGTCATCTCTGTCATATTTGGACAGCTGTCTTGAAGGCACTTGTAAAACCTTTTTTCTGCACTGCAAGAAATTAATTGAAATTTGCAGCAGGCAGACAATGGCGTAGCGACGTAAAACTTATGCATTTAAAATTTTATTTGTTTCTATAATATTGCTATTTATATATTTAAATGGAAAATACATTTCTTTATAACTATATTTAATATGTTGACTGCTGAGTTAATTAATTATAATTTATTTCAATACGATTTATAATCAAATGACAGATCTTAGCAAATATTTCAACAGCTTGCTGGTTAGATAGATGCTGGAGTATAGTTGACGTAGTAGTATTATTATTATTGATTGGACATTTTATAGATCAGGCTTTGCCTTGTTGATCATATCTACCCTGCATAGTGTATGTCCCTCTACCTGTAACATATATGCCCAGCAGCACAACATACCCTTTGCAAGCCTTATTTAATGAGCCACTTCTTATACGACATCGAAGTTCGTCTACTTCCCAAGCAACATCTATTCAATGTGTCACAGATCAGTAAAGCATAAATTATAACTATTATTGAATAAGTGCATACATATATATCTAAATTAACCTTATAGCCATAAGACATATGCATAATATAATAGTAAAAACTCAATTTCGATTTAATGAAATGGTCTTTAAGATTATTGCATTTAAAGACGGCCATTAAGCAAATGGCAAATGATAGTGTAAGCCAATGTAAATGGACTTAACTGAATGGCGACTGCGATATGCAATGCTTAAGCATATGTGTGAATATAACTCTTGCAGGCACTGTTCAAGTTCAAAAGCGAGTGCGAATGCGAGTGCAATTCGGCAGCTGCATAGATAACATCTTAATAGTCAGGGTCAGGGACAAGGTCAAGCTGTGGGTTCAAGGCGCAGATACACAGATATGCGCATGCTGCCACAATTTGTATGCAACATGTTGCTACTGTTGTTGTTGTTGTTTTTGTTGCTGCTGATCAACCACAAAGCAATTTGTTGGCAACACAAGCAAAAGCCGCAGTCGCAGTCGCACTTAATTAATTTGCGTGTTAAGTCAGTCGAGCATTAAACTGATAGCCGTACAGACTGAAGGACTGACAAGCAGCCTGTGACAGTGGGCACGAAGAGCACAGTGGGTGCCATTCCGGTCAGCTGGCTGGTAAAAAGCTTTGCGCTTGCGCGCCGGACAACTTTGTCATTTGTGCCCCGTCAGCTGCAGCTGCATCTTGCTTCTCACTCTCCCTCTCTGCCCTCTCTCACTTCACTTTTGCATCGTTGTTGTTGGCGTTGCTTACAACAAAATCGCATTAAATTACACGTTTGCCGCACGATTCCATTTTGCATATGACTGTCTATAAATATATATGTGTATACATATGTGTATGGCGCATGTTTCCCTGTATGCATATAATTACGGTCATAAATCAGAAAGCGTATTTGCAATCACAATATTTACACTTGTCCCTCAAATGTGCAATTGCCAATTTGCCAGTGCCAATGCTGGCTGCGCGGGCGGACAAGTTGCAACAAATTGCGCTGAGTTGTCGTCGATTCGAGTGAAAAATGTACAGTTAAAATTTATTGTAGAGGCATGTAGTGCGAGCTGAGAATGGTAAGGGTTTTTTCCCTCAAAATTCTAGTTATGGATGGCACACCATGAAAATAGATCTAGCAGCAATGGAGCATAGCTGACTACCAGAGTTGTTGCATTTTAAAGCAGCAATCACGTCTAATATGTGCAGAGACATGTGGCTTGAGCTGAGTAAGGAAGCTGCTTTTGCATATGTGGCTTCTGTGTTTCTCATAGCATGACAAATGGCCGTCTTTGGAAACGCATTTGTCATGGACGGCAGCTTTTTGGTCTTCTGCGGCATGAATGACATTCAGAGTTGTTGACTATATAAGAAGAACTGCTAAGTAATAGCTTAAGCAAGCATGTTGTATGCCTCCAATCTATTTTATAACTTAACTTTCAAAATTAAATTTACTTAGAGAGTAGAAAGAAGCAGGAAGAAGGCGAACTTTCGTAAGTTGCACAACTTGCGCAAAATGCTGCTAAGTAGCCTGCCAGAGTTGTCGCCTATTTAAAGAGAAACTACTTCCTTAATGTGGGAAAAGCATGCATAGAATAAAAAGAAGAAGAAGAGTACATATCTTTTTGCATGTCTCCTGCGCTTATTTGCCAATAGCATGTCCAAATGCTGCATAAAGCAGCGAAAGTTTCATGAACTGCAGCTAATTGGCCTTCTAATGTAATTGTAAAGAGAACGTGTTGTTATTTTTTCAAGCGTATTTAGCCAGTTTGTCAGCCAGCAATATATACATGTGTGTGTGTGTGTGTGTGTTCGTAGTCAAGCTTGTGTTGCAGGCCAGACGTTCCGTAGGACTTGCGTGCCTTAGCTGCTCATGAATACATACATATGTATAAATATTTTATATTTTATGTATCTACATACTCCCTTTTGCCAGCAATGTTTTGCGTCTTGCGTTTTTTTAACGAGCTTGTTGAAAGTTGTTGCAACTGGCCGCAACTTGTATGCTGCTTGCCGCATGCTGCGAGCTCATCTGTCAACTTGCCTCAAAGATCATAACTGCCTCTCAGCCTCTCAGCCCGGCTGGACCGCATCCGGAGTTGCATCAATTAAAGCGACATAAAAGTTCTAGGGAAACTATAATTTTCATGCAACTTAATCACAGCGGCATTTTGTGAAAGCCCATAAATCCAAGCAACCGAAGCAGCAGCGACTCATACTTTGATTCTGACTAGTCTGACTTGTTGTTGTTGCACTTATGCGTTTAGCTGCATTTATAGAAATTGCCTGTACCCCAAAAAGTGGACACGGATAGCAGCCAAGCCAAAAGAGGAGGCGGGCTAGGACAAGGTGGAGGGGGGAGGGGGTGGCTGGGTGGTAATCGCCGTTTAAATTTGTTCTTCGTGATGCAATCATTTTGATGAGCATCCGATGCAGCAGCATCCACAACTGCAACTGGTACTAGGTCCCCCTCTCCCTCTCTCACTCTTCGTCTGTTTGTCTGTGGCCTGCAACGCTTCGTACGTTAGGCGCCATAATGGGCTAAGCTTAGCACACAATCACACACACTCGCACACACTCACTTATACACACACACCCACACCCACACCCACACATTTGGCCAAGTGCTCGCACTGAGGTCAGCTACGCTTTTGGCCATTGTTCTGTGCGCTTTTTGGGTTGGTCTCTCTGTGCCAACTGCGCCGCGAGCTAACAAAGTGGTTTTTGTATTGTCTAATGCCACTGCGAATAGGGTATATGCAGCTAGTTATAGCATTGGCAAGTTCAGTTAAGCGAAGACCTAGAAAGGAGTGAAAGCCCAAAAAGGCAAAACAGTTAAAAGACTTAAGGAAATGAGCTAAGAAATAGATGATCTTAATACCTCTAAAGTCATGTGTTACTTGAGAACTTGAGCAGAGATTTTAGAAGCTTGAAAAGTTATTTTGTTGTCAGACTAACATATTTTAGATATCTATTAAGCAAATAATCAATATCTATACGCAAGTTTTCTTTTATTATCAATTGCGAGTGGGAATTACAAGTATCTCAAAGAGTATTTCACAGTTCCGCTTAAGAAAATTTCTCAAAAATTTAGTTGCTTATATTTTTGGTGGTCTCTTTTGCTGCGTGTTGCTGTTGTTGTTGCTGCTTTTTTATTGATCCAAATTTGAGGTTGGAAATTCGTTAGGC